TCCCTCTCCTCCTCCCCATCCCCCTCCCTCCCTCTCCCCCCCTCCCTCCCTCCCTCCCTCTCTGACTCATCTGAACATGTCTCCATCACTAGCCCACCCTGGACTTTTGCACTCACTAACCCTTCTCCTTGAAACTGCTTGACTCTTCCATCGCTCGGCTGCCTTGACGTTGCCTCTGCTCCTGTGACATGGGTCATCATCCCTGTGACACGGGTCATCATCCCTGCCCCGACACCTTCCGTGCTGTTCTACTCTATTTTCTTTTTCTTCCACCTGACTACACACATCACACAACACGTAGAGTCTGATCTCGAGTCTATAGGATACAAGCTCCATGACAGGGACCACTTTGACACCTAGTGGGTGCTCAATAAATATGTGTTAGGTAAACAAATAGATACAAATCTATGTGTAAGAAATAACACAGGGGCTGGAGAGATGGCTCAATGGTTAAGAGCACTGGCTGCTCTCCAGAGGACCCAGCACCCACGTGGTGGTTCACAACCATCTCTAACTCCAGTCCCAGGAAAACTGACCCCTAATCCTACCCTCCACAGGCACCAGACACATGCACAGTGCACAAACATACATGCAGCCAAAAGATGCATATAAAATACAATTAAAAATTGAAAAAATAGCTGGGCAGTGGTGGCACATGCCTTTAATCCCAGCACTTGGGAGGCAGAGGCAGGTGAATTTCTGAGTTCGAGGCCAGCCTGGTCTACAGAGTGAGTTCCAGGACAGCCCGGACTATAAAGAGAAACTCTGTCTCAAAAAACCAAAAACCAATAAATAAATAAATAAATAAATAAATAAATAAATAATACAAAACTTAAGAATTTCTAAGACTATCAATTTTTCCACACTTGGATGGAAAACGGGAAGGGCCTCCCTCAAACTTTACTCATGACCCAGCAAGGGTCACACTTCCTAAGGAAGAGTCTTTTAATATGCGTGCCCTTGGTGACACAATAAAGTCATCTTAACACCAACACACAGAACATGGACAGGGCTTTGCCAGTGACTAGAGGAGACATGGGAGGATGAAGGTGGGGGAAGCAGGAGACTATAAACAAGTCTTTTCCTGATGCTTCTGCTTTCAGTGTCTGTGTGTGTGTAGCTTCGTCTTTGTAAAAGAAGTCACTAAACTGGGTAACTCAAATCCTTGGCAGGAAAAGGTTCTGATGTCTGATAACTCAGTGGCCTTTAGGCCCAGCCCTCCTCACAACCTGGCCCTGGAACCACAGTTGGTTCTCCACAAAGGACCAACACACTAGAAAGAAGACACAGAGTGAAGATAATGGTTAACAGATGGACAGTGGCCCAGAGCCATGCTAATAAAAAATGATGAGGCATCGGTGTAAGGCCAGTCCCAGTGTACCGTACTATACTGTACTATTTTGTACTATACTGTACTGTACTGGGAAATGTATTACCCAGCCACGGCTGATAATTCTTCATACCCAGGGGATTCGGCGTGATGGGGAGAATAGCAGGTGCCGCCGCTCATGACTTGCAGAAATTTTCCCATGCTGTGCTCTCCAAACCCAGACAATCTGCTACACTTTCCCCGATACATGATCTTCAAGAGAGCCTAGCCAGAGGCAAACTCCAGGGTAGGTTTTGTTTTACCACCCAGTCCACCCCTTTCAGACCCTGTTCCAGGGAGTTCTCGAACTTCTCAACTTCTCGTGGGGATCCTGGCGGAGCTGGTCTCTCATGGCTCCGCCTTCTCTGCATCACGTGACCACACTGCTGCTCCTGGTGGGGCTGGTCGCTCATGGCTTCGCCTTCTAGCACACATCTGAAGGCCTCTAGCTGCAGAATAGCTCCTCTTTCCCTCCCACACCCTTGGAACCCTGGGCCAGTGATTCTGGGTGGAGTTTCTACTGACCTTGGGTTCTCAAAGGTAAAATACTTTCATGCCTTCACTACCTTTGAGTAAGGACAACCCAGCATTCTTCACCCTGAGCTTCTTCTCCTTTTCTTTTACGTCCTTAATTGAGCAAATTCGTTCCAGATTTAAATCTCAGAAAAATGTCACCAAAGCTGCTTAACAAAGCCGGTTCGGAGAGGAGAGGAACAGGCAGACACACGTGAGCTGCTGGATTCTGGTTTCAGGTAGGTCTTACAAGGAAGGAACTTGATCAACTAACTAATCAAGTAGGATCCTGATGTAAGCGTTAAGGATCGGAGGGTGGAGAGGGCTCAGCAGTTAAGAGCACCGGCTGCTCGTCCAGAGAACCAGGGTTTGATTCCCAGCACCCACATGTTAGCTTACAATGACACTGACCAAAATGGTCCAAAAAGAAGAAGCAGGTCTGAAGATGAGAGATTTTCCAAAATCTCTAATTATATCCATTAAGGAGCCTGGAGCACAGAGGAGAATTTAGAAGAGGTACACTCAAACCAGCTGCCCTGGGCATTCAGCAGCTCCAGCCTGCCCAGGTAGCGTCCTGGTGGAATACCTCTCTAAAGTGGGAATTGCACAGACTTATAAAGAACCCAATATCCTCCTCTTTACTCTGGGAACAAAACTACATATGACACGGCCATGGCTTGGGCTGCTTCTCAACCAATACATCTTCCTTTATAGCACACACCTCGAATAAAGAAATAACAATAAAACAGGAAGTTAAGAGCCCCCGACTCTGGCCGTCTGAGACAAACTTGAGTAGGATAATGACTAATTACGTTATTCAAAACAGGATCAAAGCAAGGATGACTCCTAAAGGGCCGTATTGGGTCCAGTGTGCATTCTCATTTTATTCTCTAAAACCACAAGGGGGAGCAAGCAAGCAAGCAAGCAAGGTTTTATAGGAGTATACATGGCAGTCAGCAGGTTGTTAGGGAGAATGACCCAGTGTTTCAGCTTTTCCTCTAGGTCATTCTGTTCCAGGTAGCAAGACAAAGAGGCAGAACAAGCTGTGTGCTGCCTGGTCTAATGTCAACCAAAGACCCAAACTTGAGTCATCAGAGAGGAGGGACCCTTAAGTGAGAAACTGCTTCCATGATCCAGCTGGAGGGCATTTTCTTAATTAGTTTTTGAAGGGGGGAGGGCTCCGCCCATTGTGGGCGGTGCCATCTCTAGGCTGGTGGTCCTGGGTCCTATAACAAAGCAGACTGAGCAAGCCACAGGGAGCAAGCCAGTGAGCAGCACTCCTCCACCGTCTCTGCATCAGCTCCTGCCTCCAGGTTCCTGCCCTGTGTGAGTGAGCTCTTGTCCTGACTTCCTTCAGTGATAAACAGTGCTGCGGAAGTGTGAGCCAAATAAACCCTTTCCTCCCCAACTTGCTTTTTAGGTCACAGTGTTTCATCGCAGCATTGGAAACCCTAAGACACACAGTGCTTTAAGCAAATCACTAAGTAAATGAATAAAACAGTATATAAAAGTTGGTCTTTCACCTTATTCTATTTCACTATCTGCCCCAAAGTTTCTCTGTGTCAATCTGCCATGGACAGCTGCCATACCCCCCTACGTGTCTTCCATAAACTTGAAATATTTATTCAGAGAGCAATGACCCTCTTTTCTTTATACCAAACACCTGCTGTCCCTTCTAATTCAGTCTCAGTGGTATGCCTCTCCCGTGAAGTTTGTTCTGAGCCCACTCCCTGATACTTTCTGTCCTTCTGAGAGCCTCCATCTCTTTCCACCAGGGAGCTGACTATGTGGCTAAAAAAGTCATCTTTCATGATGGCTGTCAATGAGGACAGAAGCCTCATCTTTTCCACATCACGTCCCCTAGGACCATACAGAGTAGCAGGCGTTCA